ACCTTTTTTATGTGTTTTTCAAACAAACCCGTTGTCATGGTAACTCTCTTAAAACAAGATGCGACCTGGTTTAAAGAGCCTGAGAGCTAATTACGATAGTGCTTTATGTGTAGTTACACCTTTCTTCTGGGGAGTTTAATGGACCTCACTCATTAAGCTTCACAAACATCCTCTGAAGTTTTTAGGGGACAGATACTATTAGACCCATTTTATAGACAGAGACACCAAGGCACAGACGGGTTAAGTGACTTGCCCACTGACTGGCAGCTTAGCTATGAGCAAGTCTGGGCCCAACCCCGGCCTCCTCTGGTTGCCTTCTGTTGTCTCTGCTCAGCGGGTTCCGTTTGGGTTCGGAGAGCCCTTCTTCCCGAAAGGCTCAGTCTCCCACAGTGTGATCTGCCACCAGCCAAGTGTAGAGGAGGCCCTGGACAGGGTGCTGCAGGGGTGAGGGAGAGAGGAGAGCAGGAGAGAGGGTAAAAGTGCTGCTCCACTGGCGTCATGTGGCAGAGCCGACGCCAGAGCCTTGGTGGCCGCCCCCTCGGCCTGATGTTCTCAGGGGGGAGGTGTGGCTGATGTCTTGACTGTACCCTCATGAGAGACCCTGCATCCGAACCACCTAGCCAGGCTGCTTTTGAATTCCCGACCCACCAAAACTCTTAGGTAACTCTGTTACTTTAAGCTGCTAAGCTGTGGGGCAATTTGTTACACAGCAACAGATAACTACTACACTTACTGATGCTGTCGCTCTGGGAATTGTCCTCTCTCTCTGACGTCATCACTTTTTCCCTTTCCTGGATGATTCCCAGCAACATGCAGACATGCTGGGCTTTCTCCAGTTTTATCGAAAACCCTCTTTGATCTAACACGTCCTATTTTCTGTTCCCGTATATCCAAACACTCCCCAGCGTTTTCCACCATCCCTCCTCTGATTCCCTCTTCCTAACTCTCTCCTGAGCTACTCCAGTGAGGCCTTTCTGGCCTGAGACAGCTCTTGTCAAGGGAGAATCGCCCTTCCGGTATTGGATTCAAAGTTCCATCTAACTCAACTGTTCACTTAATACAAATTTATTAAATAGCGTCTATGTGCCCAGTGTCGTATCACATGCTGGATACACAGCATGCACACCCCTGTCCTGATGGAGGGTACATTCTGGCATGGGGTGGGGGTGGGGGTGGGGAACAAACCATAAACAAACAAAAGCAGCACAAATATTTATGGATAAAATAATGATATACGGAATCAAGATTTTTCAACGTACTAGGGACCAGTGGGTAGGAGTTAACGGTGAAATGAGAGAAGATTGTTGTTAATTACTGAAGCCGGGAGGTGGGGACGTGGGAGCTCATTAAGCTGTTTTCTGCTTTGGTACAGGTTTGAAATTTTCCACAAAGTCTTTTACAAGCACACTGGATTGGGAACTCGTTGCGGTTAAGGCACGGGGGTGGCTGGGGGCAAGGGCGTGACCATTTCACATCGGGTGGCTGCTCCCTCAAGCGTGAGAGTCAAGCCGAAGGCTGGAAGAGCATTCCAAGCACAGGAAATGCATCTGCAAAGGCCTCGGCCTAAGAGAATGGCTGGAGTGTTCTAGAAGCAGCAAGGTCAGTGCCACGGTGGCCCTGCCTGTGCGCCGGCTCGGTCCATGCTGGTCATGGCGGCCACATGGCGTGGGTCTTTCATGAGAGGCAAAACCCCACACGACTGTCTGAGGAAGTTTTTAATTATTACGGTCGTAGGCATAACAGTACGCTGCATAAATAGTGTGGAAAAGGACGTCATTAAGATCAGCCCCATTGTGTTAACAAAATACCTGCTTCTGCTCTTAGGGCAGATGGTGAGTCCTACGGATAAAGCTAAAACAATATCCTAACACGAGAACCGAACCCTCTCAAATCCCATACACGGAAAAGAAGAAAAAGCTGAACTCCCATTTAGGGTGCTTTGCTACGCACAGGTGTCCCATGAAGTTACCTACGTAAACCCATGGAAAAAGAGAAGTCGGTTACACTTACCATAGATGTGACTTTTTAAAAAGGTTCATTCTGTCGAGCTTTAGGTATAACCATCAATAGGGGAAGAGTCAGATTATGGATCAACTATATACTAAAATAGTCTGAAGTTCATAAAAAGGAATGAAGCACATCTCTCCGCATAGGTCCATACTTGAGAAAATTAGTTCTAAAACTCAAGCTGAGGAAGAGCATAAATAGTATGGCCCCACTGGGTCACCAAATGCTTGTTTAGAAGACAGAAGAATATTTGAAAAGATATACCTTATGGCATTAGGAGTTATCTCAGGGGGATTGGGTGGGGCTAAGGTGCTCTAATGGGTACAGGTGACTTTCAGACAACAATTCTTTGCCAATAAGATCTTGTAATTGGAGTGTATAACATGCATACAGAAAAGGGTACCAGTCTCGAGGGCAGCCCCCCCCCATGTCCTTCAATTTCCCCTTTCACTTTCTTTTAAATAGTTGTTTAAAAACATATTTAGAGGACACTGGGGTGGTTCAGTCAGTTGAGTATCTGACTCTTGATTTCGGCTCAGGTCATGATCTCAGTTTGTGGAATCGAGCCCTGCACTGACAGTGCAGAGCCTGTTTGGGATTCTCTCTCTCACTCTCAATGCCCCTCCCCTGTTCGCTCTCTCAAAAATAAATAAATAAACTTAAAAAAAAAAACAGAACAAACAGGGGCGCCTGGGTGGCTGAGTCAGTTAAGCATCTGACTTCGGCTCAGGGCATGTGCTCACGGCTCATGAGTTCAAGCCCCGCATCGGGCTTTGTGCTGACAGCTTCGGATTCTGTCTCCATCTCTCTGCCTCTCCCCCCGGTCGTGCTCTTTCTCACTCTCTCAAAATGTAAACAAATGTTTAAAAGAAAAATTTAAATTAAAAATTTAACCAAAAAATTTTTTAATTAAAAATTAAAAAAACCCACATTTAGGCATCAGGTCAGGGATATTAGAGGCTGAGGGGGCCCTGGAGCAGGATTAGGGGAGAAGTCATGACTCAGTGTGAAAGCCAAGCCCCCGTCCTGGGTGGGGGCCGGCTCCTGAGCACCAGGCACGTACTTCTGCAAAGGGCTGCAAAGGAACCCAGCACCAAGCAAACAAGTCCAGAGTATAACACTTGCATTTCGAAGAAATGTGAGGATTGTGGCAGGTACTTGAAGAATCTCAACCCGGAAGAGGGGGGGCTCCTCTAAGGCCCTGACAGGGGAGCCCTGGGGCCTGGAGGGACATCTGAGCATCAACTTGCCGAGTAAGGTTTCCCTGAATGCCCCTCACAGATCCCTCTGCCCATCCAGGAATCCCCCAGGGGAAGCGCTGAGTTAGGGGCAGTGGGGCAGAGAAAGCTCCATATTAAGAACGTGGCTGAGTTCACATGGGCGTGTGCAGAGGCGAGGGAGGCGGCACTGGGGAGCCTCACCCTGCGCTTGTGCTCACCCAACACCAGTGCCTCAATTAATGCCCACAAACACGAAGCACTAAGCTCATTTCACAGGAGGGAGTGAGACTCAAAGAGGTTAAGTGAAGTCCAAGGCTATCAAGTGGGTGCGCAGCAGGGCCGGGATTGAGCCCTGGGCTGGGACAGCCCTGCCCCCGGCGCCCCGCCCCTCACACCGGGAGGCTCTGGCCCCGTCTTAGAGGAGCCCCGGGGCGCCCCCGACTCCACAGGGCACGTCCCCCAGAGAAGGGAAATAGAGGCCTGGGAGGGCCAGGCATAGGTGTGACAGCACCTGGCCCCGGGAAACAGGTCTGCGGCGCGGCTGCTCGACCCCCTGGGGAAAACCTGCAGCCAGCAGTGTCCTTGCCTAACTTCTGGAATCTTCTCTGAGGAAGCAGTCAATGTGGGGAACAGAGAAAGGGAAGTGCAGAAAAGCTGAGGCCCCTTTCTTCCGGAAGGGGTGGTTCATAAAAAGGGTTCAGCGGATAGAAAGCTGGAAAAGAAGAGCGGGTGGCACAGGGATGGAAGGAAACAGGTGAAGCCTCTGGCCCCAGAGCACGAGCTGGGTGCCCAGTGCCCTGGGCTGGGTGCCAGGTAATGAGACTCTTTCTCTGGTGACAGGGTCTGTCCACAGACACTCACACACACATACACATACACACACACACACACACACACATTCACCACAGATACACACACAGCACAGACTGACACACCACCAACACACACATCACAGACAAGACACCTTTTTTTCTGGAAGCAGACCGCACGTCTCCGGCCTCAGAGTGGACCCCTGTCTGCACAGAAGCAACGGAGACATGACGGGGACGGGGGATGGGCCAGAAACGCCAGCAGGGGCGACCGGAAGGAACGATGTTGCCACAGGAGGAAGGGAAGGAAGGCAGAGGGAGGCCCGGCTAGGTCTGGGCCCCGGGCCGGTCACGCAGCCTGCAGCCTGGTACCGTCGGCACGTCCCACCTTCACGCTAGGAACTTTCAGAAAGATTCTGTCATGTATGGGCCACAGGGCCCCCGTGCCCGCTTTGCATAAAGAACATGCCTCCAAACTCCCATCAGTACCTGAAAAGCTTGGGAAACAAATTTAGTTTTCAGATTAACTCAAAGAATAGATCCTTCTCAAAGAAGCTACTCAAATGGAAGTATTTACTTTTATAAATGTTTTCTCCAGTTTATCTCAAATTGCACTCAAGAAACAAAAATGACAAAATCTGTATTTGGTCTTGTGAAAAGTTATGAGAATAAGCAGTAGCTTCCATTTCCTGTTTTAGGTTGTTGCTATTACATTCTCTTGGCATACAAACAGTTTTTTAAAAATCCCAGACGAACACACACACAAGCCCCAACGTCTGAACATGAGCCCGGTAGGCCGGGGATGGGGGTGGGGCGGGGGTGGGGCGGGGGCGGGGCGGCCGGGGGCGGGGGCGGGGCGGCCGGGGGCGGGGGGGGGGCGGGGGCGGGGCGGCCGGGGGCGGGGCGGCCGGGGGCGGGGGCGGGGCGGCCGGGGGCGGGGGGGGGGCGGGGGCGGGGCGGCCGGGGGCGGGGCGGCCGGGGGCAGGCGGCCAGGCGGGCCACCAGGGAGTGGCGGCAGGTGCTGCAGGAAGAAAGTCCCGGGACACGACCAGTCCTCGCGCTCAGCACGTAAGAACTTCCCACGTCAGGGTGCACGTTCACAACGTAGGAAAACAAGCCCGGGGAGGCCCGGGGAGGTCCGCGGGGAGAGACGACCGGCAGCGAGGCGCCTGGGGGCCGCACACGGACCGGCGGGGGAGGGGGCCCTTGCAGAGCCTGGGTGGGGGCGCGGGGGCAGGCGGCCACTCACCCTGCAGAGGCGCCAAGGACCGCCGTGAGCTCCCGCGCGTGCCCCCGGTCTGTGTGTGACACGCTCCAGGGACCGTCCATCCGGACGCTCCTTGCGCACTGCACGCGCGGGGTCGTTTCCAGATTCAGTGAAACGGCCGGCCTCGTCGGGGTCTTGACCTCAGGTGACCGGCTGAGCGACGCAGTGTCTTCCTTTCTTGCCGGTGCAGTTTCTCAGCCTCTTGCTGCTTCTTCTGCTGTTCAGACTAAAGGAGAAAGTTCGGTGAGAGAGAAGGAAAGAGGGTCCCAACACCCCTTCTGTAACCAGCAGCAGCCCGCCACCCGGGGCGCCTCCGGCCGTGGCCCCGCTGCGGGGAGAAGGCTGTCCCTGGGCCCCAGGGCACGCGGTCTGGCCCCGGACTCTGCTCCCACAAAGCTGCCCTGTTCATAAGCCAAAACACGTATTTACATGGCCCCGAACACAGAACAAAACCAGACTTACATGTACTGAAGGTGCATCACCACCCGCCCACGATGCCGGATGGTTCACCAGGACTGGTTCCAGAGAGCTTCTGGCTGCTTCCAAAGAGTCTAACTCCCCTGGGAAGCCAGGGGGTCTGCTACTATTAACCCCGACAAAGGCTCCGTGGACAGTGGCCTGAGAGCCCCTAGCTGGGCCAGCGCGCAGGGGGGCTCTCAGGCTGAGCAGTGAGAGCCCTGAAGGCGCCCCCCGCCTCCCGCCCGCAGCAGTACGTCCTCATTGCAGAGTCCGCAGGAGGTCAGAGCCGTGTGCTTTTCCAGTCACTTTTGATGGTCCCGAGAGCACCCGCTGGGAACGCAGAGCTCAGAAACTGTTCCCGGCTGGTAGGACTGCACAAAAGGTAAACTGAAACAGCACCGTGGGGACCTAGTTCTCCAAAGCTGAACAGCACTGCCCTTAGGCACCGGTGAGGCTCAACACCGGTCCACGGCGCTCTCTGCTCCAAAAATACCCCTCCGTGTTCTGCTCCCGCAGAAGCCTCTGTGTCCACCTGCAGCCGGCACGGCTCACCGCCTCACTATCGGGGCTGAGGGGGGAGTGCGTGGTGGGGGAAGGAAGCCATCCGGACGGCCCGAAGCCATCGAGTCCCCTGCTCCAGGAAGCTGGCTCTCGGATTCCTACTATGTCCTCAGGCGCCCATTCAGCGCGAGTCCTGCGGCACACCCCGGCCTCCCGCGCCCCGGCCTTCAGCCCACTCCTCGGGAAACGGCCACAGCCAGTCTCCAGAAATAAAACCGGTCAGTCTTCTGCTAAAACGTGTCAACAGGTTTCCATGGTTCCACTCGGGGCTGAGCACAGACCCACGGCCCACACACAAGGCCCCCCGGCACCGCACCCGGCGTACTTCCGGATACATCTGTCGTCCTTCTTCCCTGCGTCTCGTTTCATACACACAGGCCCTTATCGGGACCGTCGAGCCCGTCCGACCGCCCCCCTGCTCAGGCCAGAGCTCTGCCTCGGTGGCACCCTGCGCCTGGAGCCCTGCCTGGCCCCTCAGGGCTCTCACCCTGCCCGTGGCTCGCCCTCCCCAGCGGACGCTCCCACGGCACTTCTGTTTCCCGCTGGCGCCCCTGGCGCTGCCGTCACGAGGTGGGCTGGGGGTGCTTCTTTCACAGACGGGAAGTCACGGAGGCGAGGACCACGCGTGTCTTGCTCTGCGTGTCCCTGGCACCCGCCGCTGAGCAGGTGTCTGAGACACACGCGCTCACGGTAAGCTCAGGAAGCCTGAGGGAACCCGCATACGCGCCCACCAAATACTCCTGGGTGTTTAATACTTTGTTTCTTCGTGTGAAAAACTATCCCCAGAAGGGCTGCTTATCCAAACAATTTTGGAAAATGATGAACCTAATAAAGATAAACAGGGTGTGCTGCGGCTCGTAAGTTAGGTGCTTCTCGCAGCTTCAACACGGACGTGTACGTCCCAGGCGCTTCCCTTCGGGCCTGGTGGGAGAGCACTCCTCCGGGAGTCCCTCCCTCTCTGGCAGCGCTCCGGCAGGGGTGGCCTCCTGAGGAGCCTGTAAGCAGCGCCACTGGCCCGCAGACAGAGCCCCCTCCAGAAAGGGACTGTCACCGGCCTCTCTCCGAAAGGCGGTTCTGGAAGGCGGCCGCACCGCGTGACCGGTCCCTTAGGATTAACGGCCCACGGAGCTCACCTCCGAGTCTGCCTTCCTTCTCTGGCCTGCCCCTGCCCCGGCTGCGCTCCCGCCGCGGCCAGCAGGCCGGCCCAACGAAGGGGGCGCTCGGACGCGTGCAAGCCCACCGCTTACAGCAGCGGCCTGGCCTAGGACCGGATGAGGAACTGCAGGTCAGGAAGTTCGAACCCTGGATTTGGGACCTAATCCAACTTTAGCTACTATACAATTTAAATAATATGAAAGCATGAGCTTTCCCCTTCCATTTCATTCAGAGGTTAGAAAGTATCTAGGAGGGGCGCCTGGCTGGCTCAGTCCGTAGAGCATGTGACTCTTGATCACGGAGTCGTGAGGTCGAGCCCCACACTGGGAGTGGAGTTTACTTTAAAAAAAGTATCTATATGAAAATCTTGGGAAAACTTGAGATTTTACCTAAGTATATCACACACCTAGTTTAGAAAGAGATTTCTGTTAACAACTACACAAATCCCTAATCATTCCTAAGTAAAAGTGGGATTTGATAGCATATCCCTAAGTAAGAGTGAGACTGAATAGTTAACATCTGGTTACTCAAATGATACAACTGGCATAAATGAAACATTAATTGATGCATTCCCCAAAAACAGCCTCTGCTGGACTCAATCATGGGGACACTTTAGGTATTTTGTAGTGCTTTTGTTTTCGGCAACAACAATAATAATAATGAATTTCAGAGCCATCTTATTTTCATTTTACCACGAATTGTGCAAGCCCTGGACAATCAGGACTTTCACTTCATAAGACAGCACCTCAGGTGGCCCAGTGACACCACACGGCCACCCTGTCCCCCGGGTGCCCTGGGCCAAGCTGTGTGCCGGCCCCAACCCCGGGAACGCAGGAGGGGCTCTGGCTGTGGGAGAAGGTGCTCGAGCGGGAACACGCTTCCTCCGGGGGAAGAGTCTGGGAGGGCAGTTCTGAGGTCAGACACGCACACAGCACTCCTGGAAGGAAGCCTATTTTCATGTCCTGAAAATGACACTCAAAAACTTACCCTCTTTAACGTAAACGTCAACTGTTTGCTGCCAACTGTGGTGTCGGACACACTCAACGTGCCATTTTTTGCTTCCAGTTTCAAACGATCTTCAAGTGTTTTACTGCAGGAAGTTTAAGAAAATGATACGTTAATTAGCATTATGCTTTGGTTTGGCATTTGAATCAAGTTTTAATTAGAACTGCTCACACGAAGATGATCTTTTACACTTGTGGTAAAGACAGAAAACGGCATTCACTTAACACAACTGCAGGAAGAGTTAAGGGCACTGCTCACACTCAGGAAACGCACAGTAAAAACAACAGCTGCCCAAACACCCACTCACTTAGTATTTTAAGTGGTGGCTACAGAGAGATTTTCAGTAGTTGCTACTTATCTTACTAAATCACATTTCTGAAGCCAAAATCGAAGGAGCGCTATTTCTGAAGCCTGTAGTTTCTGGTCATGGTCAGCGGCGCATCGCTTCCAAGGCATTTTGTATTTAAAGCTCGCACAAGGCAGGAGAGCGTTTCGGTCACCTCGTTGGGGGAGGGAACGCAGATCAAGGGCCACGCGAATACTAATTTTTCCTTCGTGCTCTTAGCTCCCGGGACCACCCTCACCGCCCCCGGCATGAATCACTGGAGCCATGAGCCGGTCTGACTCCAGAGGGAAATAAGAGCAGTTGTGAAGAGGGTAAATTCTATCTGATTCAATCTTCACTCACTGCTATTTCTCCAGGGGACTTTTCCTTCCAATTTCTTATTTGAATTACTCCTCCCGCCGTCCTTTACCCCAAACGTAAGTCTCGTTTCACTTCTTGATCATGTTTCCCAAACTTTTCTAGGGTCTCTCTCTATACTCTGGTCCCCGGTTCTGGTGTGCTGGGCCCTGTAAATCTTTGTCATCTGCATAATTAACACCACTGTGCCCCGGCTTCACAATCAAGACATTCCATCTGTATTTTGCACACGAAAACACTTCATTGCACGTCGCTGTAATGTTTTATTAGAAAATCTTGGGGCGCCTGGGTGGCTTAGTCGGTTAAGCGTCCGACTTTCGCTTAGGTCATGTACTCGCGGCTCGTGGGTTCGAGCCCCGCATCGGGCTCTGTGCTGACTGCCAGCTCAGAGCCTGGAGCCTGTTTCAGTCTGTGACTCCCTCTCTCTCTGACCCTCCCCTGCTCACGCTCTCTCTCTCTCTCTCCTAGAAATAAATAAAACATTAAAAAAAAAATTTAAAAAAAAAAAAAAAAAAAGAAAATCCTACCAACCTGACAATAAACTATTTAAGAAAAAAAAAAAATCTGCACGCCGGCCCTTGTTGTTAACTTGGTTCGGAGGGGAAAAAACTGAATTAGGCTTAAAGACAAAAACCTTCCGTGAGTTTTAACAGTAGCTCTAACACTTGGAGAAACAGCAAAGCAGCAGCACCTCACGTGTCCGGATAGAAACGGGTGAGGGGAGCAGAGGAAGAAAGAAGGAAAGAACACGGTTCTCTCTTCTACTCCCCCTTCGAACAAAAGTAAACACGCTTCCCTTTCCAATCCTCCTTGTCCCAAGTAAAGATGAAGGCCCCCGTTTAAAGTTAATACTGAACAACCTGACTGAATTGAAAGACGGCCGAACTGTGTGCGGGGTTTTCTTTTGCCTGAAACACGATCTTCATCCCTAATTACTGAGCCTCCGAAACGCCCCATAAGATAAAGCGATGCCTCTTTGAAATTCCGAAGGAAACGTTTGATGTGCACACCACGAGAGATTTCTCTCCGGTTTATGACTGCTGGGGAAGTACGAAACAGGTCTTCTTTATATAATTTGAGCCGTGAAGTGGTGAGCATAAAAGTGGCACTCTTTTCTAAGCAATAATGTTATTAAGAAGCACTTTTAAAGTACTTTTCATCTTCAAAGTGCTTTACAGACGAACTAATTAATCCTTTCAACATCCCCGAGACGTGAGTATTTATCCTTTATAGATGGCGAGAAGGGAGGTGAGAAGCTAAATGGCTGGCCCCGGGCCACGCGGGGACCGAGGCTGAAAGCCGGGATTCCAATCTGAGAATTTCTGGTTTCCAGGAGTGGGTCGGACCAAAGCTGCTTTGCACAGTTCTGTGCAGGGAATTGTCTGTGGGTCTTCTGCATGGCCGGCTTCCCACGTTGCACGCTGAATGACACGAGGATCTGGTTTCCTTTTGTTTTTGAACAGGAACCCCCGTGCGAAGTGGCGGCGGGCTCCCCGTGGATGGCGGTGACGTTGGCCTGAGCTTGTCCCTCAGCCTGTTCGTGCCGTGTTTTTCTTTCCTCTCGTGCCTTCTGAGCAGCTCGGGAGCCTTGGAGACAGGGCGGCACACGGGAAACACTCATTTGGGAAGAAAGTGACTTTTCAAGTAAATTGTGGGCAATTACTACTCTTTTAAGAATGACCTTATTTCCTCCATGATGGGGTATGCACATTCCGGTTTCCTCTCAATGTGCCCTCAATGTGCACTTGTAAGAACTTGTTCTGTCTGGCTACGTGGAGAGACGATCTGAGTGCTAGAACGAGCCGTGGCAGAAGATCAGACACAGGCAGGCACTGAGCGTGGAGATTCCGACATTAAAGCGAGCGCCACTTCCCTCCCTTTGAACGTCGGTTTACGGTACGTGGCTGCGAACCAGCAACCCCTGAGCTGACAGCACCCTGAGGATGGATCCAGCCAGAGACGATGGAAGCACAGACAGACCCCTGCAAACCGTCTACTGTAACAGAAGAACAAAAGGCACGGGCCCACACCGCCTGTCGGCAATAAGTGAGGCGGAGAATTTCAGGGAAAAACAAAATTCACTGTAACCAGCGACGCCCCCCCCCCCACCCCGCGAATGTGTGGGTCCCGCTGGGAGGACAGATGTGGGCGTTTACAGGTGGCAAGAGAGGAATGCTCAGCGCAGGACGGACGGGGCTGTGAGGGGGAGAGCCACGGTTCCCGGCAAGGCGGTCTGAAAAACACAAGCGGGCACAGAGCACGGCGGACACCAGGGCGGATGTTGCCGTGTGCCCGGGGACTGACGCTCCTCGGCTGAGTGGCTGAAAATCCCACTGTGTGGAGGCACGTGTGTTCGCAGAGCACCGAGAGGAGTTAACTCAAAATAGAGGACTCGTTCCCCCACGGTCTGCACCAAGGGGAGCAGAAGGCAGGGGAGAAGCGGAGTGAGCAGCTAACGTTACACACTGTTCAGAACAAACAACTGGCAGACGCTTAGAGATGGGACGGGGCGCTGAGAACTCCGTCCGCATGCACCCCATCAAGGCCCCGAGCTCCGCAGACGAGGACGGAGGAGCCAGCCTATCTGGGGACCTCATCTACCAGCTTTGTTCAAAATTAAAAAGATTCCTAGGGGCGCCTGGGGGGCTCAGTCCGTTAGGCGTCGGACTTCGGCTCAGGTCGTCATCTCCCCACTCGTGGGTTCGAGCCCCGCCACTGGGCTCTGTGCTGACAGCTCAGAGCCTGGAGCCTGCTTCCGATCCTGTATCTCCCACTCTTTCTGAACCTCCCCTGCTCATGCTGGTTCTCTCTCTCTCTCTTAGAAATAAAGCATTAAAGAAAGAAAGAAAGAAAGAAGGAAAAAGAGTCCTAAGGTCCACTGTTGTCACAAGCGTGGGGAAACTCTGGTGCAAGAGCTCCAAGCCTTGGTTGAGGGCAGTGTGGCCGTATCTACCGCATGCCCCTTTGGACCCAGCAAGTTCCATGACTACGTCATACAGTCTGTAAAGGAACCCCCACGCACCTATATATGACCGTGAAAAAAGGAAGAGGAAAGCCAGGACCACCCGAAGCACCCCGAATCTGGGAATGTCGCACACGTGATGGCCCGTCCACTTCAGGAAGACTGATGCGGCTCTAGGCAGGCCTACGCGCACCCACAAAGAAACATTTCCAAAACTTCCTGCTGCACGAAGAGAGAAGTTGAGCCGCCGTATGACTGGCAGGGCCTGTGCACGTCCACGAAAGAAGAGCTAACACGGCACAAGCTGAGTGGCTGACTTCTCGACAGGCGCGCAGCAGTCACCTCCGGGAGGGAGTGCGGGGGTCAGAGGGAGACTCCCCTTTTATTCCACACTCTTTTTAAGTATTACAATGAAACGTGCTTATACATCACTTGTGTGCGAATCAAGCTGAGTAATAAAAGATTCTTTGTACCAAGTGCAACTCTGGAATGAAATCGTTTTCAAAACTGGATTTAAAAACTGCTTTGTATTAAAAGACCGTGTTCCTTCAACTCCTTCAGCTCCTGCGGCAGCAGCAGGGACATGAGCTGAAGTCCATCCACAAAGCGGAGAAAGTCGGAGGTGTGGTAAGCGGCTTCCCGCCACTGAGAGCACCTGGTGAACAAGGTGAATTCCTCCCAGGCAGGAAATGTCTTTGAAACCTTTGAATTTCCAAGACAGACCACAGGCTGGGTGCTTCAAAGAACACTTTCCTACTGAAGGGCCGCCTGGCAGGGGGCATGTACTCCCCGGAGGGGAGGGGCGGCCTGAGCTCTAGGAGCTCCCCTGCAGGCCCCCCCTAACCCCCTCCCAGCACCGCTGGATCACGGAGGCCGATGTGCCCGGACTCCGGACTCCGCCCGGGCCAGCAGCGTGAACGAACTCCCCACTTTCTACCCACAATCGTGATTATTGCCGCCCAACCTGCTGGCCTCTCCCCGGGCCTCGGAGGATGGACCCCTGTCCTTTCTGAGGCTGCCTCCTTGACGGGGGCCCTGGCCGCTTCTCCTGACTGCTCACTGAACTCAGCTCTGCATGTTCTTGCGTCTCTGTGTCGCTGCCCACTTGCCACAGTCAACCCACTAACACATTCGGTCCCTCAAGCCTAAAAACCCTTTCCCATCGCGTTACTGGCTTTGACTCCTTCCTTTTTCTGCCCAACTTCCTGGAAGAACCATCCACATGAACTGTTCACAATATTTATTATCTCCACTCACTCATCCATTGACTGCAATCAGACACCTGGGCTGATGCCTGAGGATCGAGTCCCAGCAAGATACTCTCCCTAATGGCCTTTAAAACCCTCCTCCACCTCGCGGGCCCCCACTGCCCCATGTGACACGCGCCACACCCTTGGTGCCCTTTCCTGCCTGCCTGGCTCTCTCCATCCAGTTTGCCTCCTACATTTCTGAAAACCCACTCAGTAGTTTTTACTGCCTACCTTCCCCTCTGCTGTCCTCCAGATAGGAATTCTTAGCCCTTGGCTACCGGTGTGATCGGTGCCATCTCTCAAGGCACACGCAGCATTTTGCGTGCAGCTGTACTTTTCTAAAGAGAGGTGGGTGGTTTTTATCACGGACTCCAGAAGAAGTTACTGTTGCTCCCAAGGGGCTCCTTCCGTCACCCTCACGGACTCTACATACTCGGTCTTTCTCGAGGACACCGTGAGAGCTGGCATCCCAGCCCCATGTCTCCGGCCCACCGCCCACACTTCCCACTGTCTGCTGAACATTAGCCAGAGGACGGCTGGGCGCTGCACACGTAACGGGCGGGTACCCAGCTCAGTACTTTCAGCCTTAAACCTGGTTTGCTTCCCGCAGTCTTGATCTCGGCGGTGACGCTGCTAGACGGTTCAACGTCACCCGACTATTCCCCTCTCTTTCACCATTAAATCCGTGCCCGCAAGACACTGTGGCGCGCGGCCTGTCCCTTCTCCTTCTGAGACGGTCTGTGAGGAATGCGGCTCCTCGCCGCCCCCGGTTCAGGCTCCGTCCCTTCCGACCTGGATGCCGTAGGGTCTGTCAGCTGATCTCGGGGGCCCACTCACCCCCCACACGTTCTGCCCACAACTGCACTCTTTCATTAAGTTTCTGAGAAAGAGGGACCTTCTATGCCTGCGAGTTTTTATTTTTATTTTCGACAACAAACCGGAATGGCTTGTATTATACCTAAGTATCCACATCACTGGGCGGAGGGCTTGGAAACAGACTGGATGGTGTTAATCTTAGTGTGACAGTGGTCCCTGGCTCCCCGGCGCTTGGGCCGGGGGCTCCGCGCTGCCCCCCGCTCACCCTCCCGCACCAGAACGCGCTTCTCCCCGCTTGCACCCGCTTCGCCGGGTCCCCACGCCACGCCGCCGGAACGCCCTCCTCCCGGCCCTGCTGGGGGGGCTCGTCTTTTTGTCCTTTCGAAAGAGGTCACTATGACGTCTTACGAAGACTTCCTGAAGTCTCCCAAAGTTAACCCCCTTTCTCTCTCGTGTGCTTTCCCCACGGCTCTCCGCGGCTCACGGAGAATGGGCTGGAAGGCGAAGGCTACAGGATGCGAGCTGGGCCTGTGTCGCCACCCCCCGGCCCCGGACGGCACTTCGTTCACGCCAGGCAAGCACTCAACAAACGTGTGACTGGCGAACGGGCGGGAGAGGCTGGCGGGGACAGGAATAAACTCACAAAGCAGGGCACACTGCGAGGCGTATGAATGCGTGTTGACAGATGAGTGTATTTATGTGACGCCATGTTACTATGCCAAGCAAAGGAAAGGACTCGCTCAGGTACGGAGTTAGGGTTCGTGATTCACTTTCCCTTCACAGAAAAAGTTTCAACACTGGGCAAGTCCGAGTGAGCATTAAAAACATAATATACTCAGTTCTGAGGCTGTGTTTTATTGACTGCATCGTGCTAGCTGACAGGATAAATCGAAGGCACTCACTCTGGTGTTCTGAAGGATGGTGGTTCAATGTTTCATTAAAGAATATTAAAATATTGCAAGTTTGGGATTTGCCAAAACGTTCCAGTCAAAACTAGAACTCAGTAAGTGGTCTGTGCCAAAAAGCCCAGCCAGCTGCAGGCTGTTCATACCAAAGGCTTATTACTTTCAGCTACAGGACTCTCCTTTTAAGCTCATGAAGTAATGTCACTTACACAGTTCTCTACTCAAAAAAAAAAAAAAAAAAGGTTAAACTTAGTAAAAATGTTTAATTGTAGTGTATTAACTTGGCTACTATTTATTCATTAAATATTCTGTCTCTTTTGTCTCTCACATTAACTTCCTGCTCCAAGCCACAGGCAGAAGGAAGTGTCAGGAAGTTGGTCAAGCCCCGGCCCCCAAACCACCAGGTTACCAGGCCTGCGCTGCAGCCCGCTGCCCCTGGGTCTCCCCGGCCAACGGACGGTTCTTTCTCAGCAGACCTTGAAAGGGTAACTCACGGCGTTGCCTGAAGTGGCCACGGCACGGAAGGTCCCCGTCCACAAACACTCACCGAGTGCTCGCGTGGGTCTGGTACCGAGTCAGAAGCCGGTAACAAAGTGAACCGGGCAGGACAACACGAGCAGACACTCTAACAAAGCACCTCCGTCCCCAGAATCAGATCCCTACAAGCAACCAGTCCTCCTGCCGCGGCTGAGCAGGGCGCCAGGTAGACCTCTGAGCACAACGGGCACAGAGAGGGCGAGGCTGTGCGCACAGCCGGTGGGAATGTGAGACAGAGGGGCTTCTCTGAAGGTTAAGTTTGGTGCCACCACGTGACGAGCAATCGCACTCCTAGAAACACGGCCAGAAGTGAAAACAGGTCCATGTAAAATCGTTTACACAAACGTTCATAACAGCATTATTCCCTATAATGGAAAAGTGGAGTGGAGCGACCCAATGTCCACTGATGCGGAACGGGTGACCGACGCACGGTCGGGCCTATCCGCACGGCGGAATATTATTTGGCAGTAAAACCAGAGGAAGTACCGACAGCTGCTACCACGTGGATGAACACTGGAGACGCTGTGCTCAGTAAAAGAAGCCAGACAGTTGCCACATCTTGCAGGGTCCCATTTATATGAAATGGCAGAGCAGGGGGCGTCCACAGGGACAGAGGGGAGACAGCGGCTGCCTGGGGTCGGGGTGGGCTGCAGGCAGCACATGCTATCAGGGCGTGGGGCTCCATCTGGGAGATGAAAATGCTCTAAAACTAAACTAAGGGGTTAGCTGCACAGCTCAGCAATCACACTAGAGACCGATGAACTGTTCTCTTTAAGTAGGTGGACTGTAGGTTATATAGTTTGTATCTCAAGGAAGGTACTAAAAAAATAAAAAAAGTGAGGCCGGTAAAAATATCTTCAAAAGACATCAACCTTATTACTAGATTCTTTTTTTTTTTTAATGTTTGTTTTTTTTTTCCAGAGAGAGAGAGAGAGAGAGAGAGACAAGGAGGGTCAGAGAGAGAGGGAGACACAAGAATCTGAAGCAGCTCCAGGCTCTGAGCCGTCAGCACAGAACCCGACACAGGGCTCGAATCCACGCACCGTGAGATCATGACCTGAGCTGAAGTCAGACGCCCAACTGACTGAGCCCCCCAGGAGCCCCTAGATTCTTTGTTTACCAACAGATCTTTAGTTCGTTGGAAGCGGAATTCTGAGCCGCCCTCGGATTCTAAGTTAAAGGACTCACTCAACACCTGGGGTTTCAGATGCCTGCTAGAAGCCAGTGAGATAAACGTGACTGGCCAGATCTCCATTCCAGAAACAGTTCAGCCTGTGCTATGATGTCCTCTCCACCCTTTCCCTACTTCCTGCATCTGAAAAACCATTTTCCAGACGGGAAGCCAGGAGCTGGAGGACAGGCACAGGGCTGGCACCAGCCCAGCCCCCACCTCCTCGGGCTCCCCACGCCTCTCGGGTCTTCTTTCGATACGACCTACCACGACCACCCGTCGCCTTCTCATCGTACACATGACTACGCAGCCCGGGAAGCCTCGGAGCAGAGCCGGACATAACTCGCAGCTTGTACACAATGTGGAACGGAGGGCCTGGCGTGTTCCTTACTGAGACACCTACAGCTCAAAGTGTCCAAACAACAGCTACTTTTTTAAGGTTGACATTTTTTTATCGTGGTGAACTATATGCACGGTGCTGGGCCGTCACCACTCTCCATTTCCAGAACTTCCTCCTCATTCCAGACTGAAACCGTACCTCGTTAAGTGATTTCTCCCCACCCCCCTCCCTCAGCCCCTGGGAACCACCCTGCTGCTCTCTGTCTCCATGTAGCTGACTATTCTAGAATACGACTCTTGCTCATCTCTCAGTTCTTTTGCAAAAGGCTTAAAATTTCTGGCAAATTGTCCAAGTGACCTTTTCAGTAATCAGGTAAGCTGAGAGAGGGATAACTGTAACTGAAATTCTAATAAAAAAGAATAATTTTTTGTTAAGGGAGCAAGAATTTGTTACCTCTTAATGACCACTATACAGAAAACTACTGAACTGTGGGGCAGAGAATAAAATAGGTTATTTGTAGGTTGGGGAAACAGAGGGGAAAAGAACAAGAACAATGAAAGAAGGTGACTTGTATGGTGGACAAGTGTTCTCAGTATGCTGGCCAGGACCCGGAGGGGCCAGGACCAGAGTGGCCAGCACCCGGAGGGGCCAGGACCTGGAAGGCTATGCCCTGGGTTTGACAGTCAGAAAGCTGTTCAAAGTCACGGCAATAAAGACCAGTGTCTTTCCTCTCAAGCCCTGTGACGCTTCCCTCACATTAACTCTGAAAGGAAAATCATCATCCCCAGGGCAGCAGGAAAAGCTGGGCCCCGGCATGGCCGAGGCACCACCGAGCGCCGCGTTACTCACTTCATCAGCTTCTGCTTTGTGGCCGCATCTTTGAAGCTCCTGAATTCCTCGCCAGCTTTGATCTCATAAAACTGGGGCTGGAGGACGGTCTGCTGGTCCTCCCTGAGCCGCTCCCGCCGCTTCACCTTTTCCTCCTGGAGGAGAAGTCTGCGCTGCTTCCTGACCTCTTCGACCCAGTCTTTTTCATCATCCGAACTCTCAGAACTTTCTGCATCACTTGGCTTTCCTTCCGGTTCTTCCTCCTCTTCCTGAAAATAAAAATAGTAAGCAGCAGCTCCTTTCCCCCGCCAAACCCCAACCTGTTCTTTTCTGGTGACCCACTCTCGCCTTCTAGAATACGTGGCAGCGCTCACATCGGGGAAAATGCCTTTTGTTCAATAAGATCGACGTCTACGGCCAAAGGTCAAACAAATTACACCTCAAGTGTCCGAAAGGCTCTTCCAAGTCACACAGAAAACTGCGTTATTAACGAAACATCAGCAAACACTACATGGTAAGGAGCACGTTACTTTTTCATGAAGTTCTTGTTGCTCCAAGAGTCTTAGCTTCTTCTTCCTTTTTTCACTAATTTTTGAAACAAGTGGATTCAAGAGCCTAAATTCTTCACTCTCTTCGTCTACTTGGAAGTCAGGATTCTCAAACATAACTTTAAATCGATCATCGGTGAGAATATTCGGAAGGCTCTAGGAGAAAAAGAAGGTGGGAGTAAAGCTTAGGTGAATAAAATCTGACCAGAGAGATGGCCTAAAAATATCTGTCAATTATAAATTGATAAGCTCCGTAAGGCATTACTTTACTAGAAAACTTTAGAGCTAGTTTCCAGAACTTTCTAACTGCCCTTGGTTTTATCTCCTACTTGCAAACAAATTCTATTAATCTATTTCAGATGGTATGTATTACTTGGCCATGCAACATGAGCTAAGCATAAACCTTTTTGGCTTAAGTTTATGCTCAATACACTGGACAGAATTTTCTTCAATTAACATTTTTTCATGAAAAATACTTTTCAAGGAAATCTGTTTTGAAATACAGCTGTTTAGGCAGAGCTACTACACTGAATTAAAATTTGTGACACGTCCAACTTCATCTAAAACTGAGAAAGGAAATCTTCAGCAATAAGAAGACACGAATTAACACGGTGGGGAGCTGCCGGTGGAAGCTTCCTGACTCTGAGTTATTTGGAAACAGAAGAGAAACTCCCATCTCTTATAGGATAGCCTCATCAATTTTTTTTCCGTAGGCCATTTAACTGTTCACAAAGGATGTACAGTAAACCTACTGGCACAATAAAACTGCTGTTGAAACCCATTTGAATAGCTCAGGGCGGACACTAAATTCCTTTTTATTTGTACCATTTTGAACAGAAAGATTTCTAGAATGTATTATAAACTTTTCTGTTCACACAAACAGAAGACAATCTTCTATACTCAGGGCTCTCCTATTGTTTCTTATCTGCTATATGCCTGGAAACCAGATAACTCGACCTACTGAACAGGGTTTGTAAACAGCCCGAATGTGGGCGAAACAGGCCGACCTGTTTGTGGTGGGTGGAAGCCGCAGATTTCTGAGTGTGGTATTTACAATCCGGCTACACAAAAATCTGCCAAATCATGCGACACTGAGGAACTCAGGCTGTTTGTTCCTGGTAGGCACCTGAAATCTGATAAACCCTTAACCTAAACTTCTATGACATACTGAGGATATATTTAAGATACACCCAACAAGTCTTCCCTATCGTTTCCAGGACAGATTTAGGCTCAAGGAAGAAACAGATAAGATCTAGTTCCTGATCCCAAGGTAACTAAGGAGGAAAAACAACACAGTAAGGAAACAAAAGCCCGGACGCTACAAGGCACCTTACACACGATGCCAAGCAGAGCTGAAAGTGCTCTGGAAGCAGAGAGGGGATGGGTCCCTGCAATAAGAGGCAGGTGAGAAGGGCTCACTGGGGGCGGCGGCCTTCCCTCATGCTATGGGAGCTATGAAATCAATGCCGTGGTGGCTATGACGCACACTTCTGGGTAAAGACAGTGGTCTGAACGTAAGGATCCCCTTCGAATCCCTGTTAACTAACTCCATTAAAGCAACAGAAAACGGACTTTAAAAAGACACAACCCTGGGGCGCCTGGGTGGCTCAGTCGGTTAGGCGTCCGACTTCGGCTCGGGTCACGATCTCACGGTTAGTGGGTTCAAGCCCCGCGTCAGGCTCTGTGCTGACAACTAGCTCAGAGCCTGGAGCCTGTTTCAGATTCTGTGTCTCCCTCTATCTTTGACCCTCCCCTGCTCAAGCTGTCTCTCTCTCTCCCAAAAATAAATAAAATACTAAAAAAAAAAAAAAAAAAAAAAAAGACAACCCTCCGGGATGAAGAGGACAAAAAAAGGAAACAGGAGCGGTGGGATTCTGGAAAGAAAGGCAGGCCTCGCCACCCACCCCCGTGCAAAGAGAGGCCTCTTCCCTGGAGGAGACGAGGGGTCTGCTGGGACAGCAGGATCCTGAGGTTGGCACACTGATGTCACCCCGCCCCTCAAGCCTCGGGACGATGGTTCTCAGAATCCGAGGGGCCCGGCGGCACCCTGCAGGCAGGAGAATAGGCCCAAAGACAGTGCTATCAGGAGCTTCCCCAAATCGACAGTTTGGCCGGGTCACCACACAGCGCGTGCAGGGTCCTGTCCCCTCGCCTCAGTTGCCATTCAGCGTTTTAGATCTTTCGCTCTTAAATACGAACAAATGACCTGAGATCACAGCAGGCACAAACCTCTTAAATTTTTCCGCCCAAGAAGGCCGCTCCCCGCCCCCCCCGGAACTGACGGGCCTGTTTCTGGACTGAAAGGGCCCACACAGTGGCCGGCACTAGGGCTGGACTGACCCAGGGAAGACAGTCCCCAGTGCATCGCTCAGCTGTCATGCGGACTCCCTCCAGTCTCCCTCGTCCTTGCCCCACTCCCCTTATCTTGAAGGAGAAAATCCTGAGGAATTTCCTGGGCAAAATAAGCACATAAATGTAATGTGTGGTTGTTGTCCAGAACATGCATGTCTGAAAAACCTCTTCGCTCCACACCCTTACACTGCCTGCCTGCGTGTCTGGGTTGGAAATAATATTCCTTCACAAAACGACAGATTAAGGGTTCTGTATCCAACACGGGGGGAGGGTGGAGTGCGCCCCAGGCCGCCACGGGCGCCAGTACCCGGAGGTGACCGGTCCAGGACAGGGCTGCGCTGACACATGGAGAAGAAACTCGGTCAGGGAAAGAAAAATGAACATAAAAACTGATACTCACATAAATGTCCTGAGATGAGATTTAGAGAGCCAGCAAACCAGCTAACTAGTTTACTGCTAGTTAAGTAGGGCTATCTAGTGATCTGACCACCACATAGAAAAACAAGAAGTCAAAACAAAGCGCAGGGAAGACGGAGGTTGGATGGAAACATCACACGGACTCCCTCCCGACCCGGCCTGGGGTAGGAAGAGCACCCGCGTGGTCCTGACCCCATAAGTGCTGGGTGCTGAGTGTCCCAAGTTGCACGAGAACTTAACGGAAGGGAAGGTTATCAAAAGATGAATGATGACTGGCCTGCCACTTAAAAGTCAAGCTGGAGCACCATGGGCAGTATTAAGAGTTTAACACCAAAATAATTGGCTAAAAGGGCAAAAGTGTTTGTCTCAGGACTGGAGAAAATGAGGGAGAGGGAGGAGGAGGAGGGGAGGGGGAGGGGGAGGGGGAGGAGGGGAGGGGGAGGGGGAGGAGGGGAGGGGGGGGGAGGAGGAAAAGGACAGAGGGAGAGCCACCATTCCAACAAACCCTAGAGAAATATTTAGCTTTTAAAACTACATGTGTAAAACTGTAATAAAAACCAAGAATGATCTTTAATTAGTACTAATAAAAACCTTAAAAATCGCATTTGGGATGAGAAAGCTGATCTGATCCAACCCAGTCTCTATGCACGGCTGTCCCTTTTCCCTAGAGAGATAAATTACCCTTTTCCCTAGAGATAAATTGTGACTTTAAAATCTGCTCTTAATGGTAGGGAATAACCCCAGGCTAAGACAACCCCCTACCCCAAGCTCCGGGCCAGAGCACACGTGGCCTGGAAGTGCTGTGGGACAGCGCGTGGCCTGGAGGCGTGCTGTGGGACAACGCACGTGGCCTGGAGATGTGCTGTGGGACAGCGCGTGGCCTGGAGGCGTGCTGTGGGACAGCGGGTGGCCTGGAGGCGTGCTGTGGGACAGCGCGTGGCCTGGAGGCGTGCTGTGGGACAGCGCGTGGCCTGGAGGCGTGCTGTGGGACAGCGCGTGGCCTGGAGGCGTGCTGTGGGACAGCGCGTGGCCTGGAGGCGTGCTGTGGGACAATGAGGGCCTGAGAAACCGTGGAATCCAGCAGAAGGATGCCATACAAGAATCTACGGCAACAGCAAAAACTGGTAGGAAAGGCCAACAGCCAGGAAATGACACTTGTAAGAAAAATGGCTCAAACCCTTTCCGATCAAACGATGAGTCACCGGTGCCATGCCTCTCCCAGCGGCCTGTACACACGCGAACTCAATACGTACTTGTCCAAAGAATAAATGGATTGACTCTTAATTAGATGCCACCAAGTGTCGACGTTTGAGTAGGATCCGGATCATGCCTCCTGACGCGGTATGGTGGGTCCCTTCCCACTGCAGGTCCAACGCGAACTGAACAGGACACACCTATTAAGCTGTATGTCACCTGGGGCAGCAGTACCCGGGAACGGGTTTCACCGTCTGCCTCCAAGCAATCCGAGCTGGGGGCCAAAGCAGAATGAAAGCCGCTTGCCAGCCAGGAGCCGGCAGAGCTCGGCGAGCTCCTGGGGGTTTGAAGCACTGCTGACGGAGGGAACATCTTTCAAATATTCTGCCCACTAGGAAAGGCTCTTTCCTCAGTTCACAAATGGTTTTTAAGGTCTTCGTTTTAATTAGACAACACTGTTAAACATCAAATCACATAAGCTTTGTCTAAGAATAGCCTCAGATTTCTAGAAAACTGTCTTTAAGAATTTCTGGGAGGAACCTGAGCTCTGATAATAGGCCCCAAATTGGGTCAGCAAGCCACGGAAAAGCAAATTAGGGGCACGTTTTACAGACACCACTTTCTAGCAACATCGCATCGGGTGGCACAGCTCCTACCAGGACACATTCGGCTGCCAAGCAGCCAGAGGCGCCACGCCGGAGGGAGGACAAGAACTCTGAGGGCTGTTCCTCTGTGCACGGCACAGAAGCAGCGCATGGCCTGTGCCGACTCTCTCTGCCCTACCCGACTCGTGCTCTCTCCCTTTCTCTCAAAACAAATGCAAAAACTTAAAAAGAGCATTTTTTTAACCTAACAGACCAGGATGGAAGATGCGGCAAGAATGAGGGGGCAAAAGACAAGCAGCGAGTGTGACCCCATGGAGAAATCACAGCGCTCCAAGAACACCCCCCTCTCGCCCCATCGCTGCAGGTTACAGAAGAAAAAACTATGCCCCAGGGAAGCCCAGGGTCACCCAGGATGACCCAACTGGTGAGCAAGAAACTAGAGCGATAAGACCCTGGGGCTGCTTATCTCATGTTCACTTACCACGTTAAAAACTAGCAAGAGAACAGAGAAAGAATCAACAAGCAAACAAAAATCTCCCGAGAGCGTAACACGGCTGGTCCAGAGTTCCAAGGCCGGGCCCTTTCCCAGAGTCGGTCCCGCAGGCTCCTGAGAGGTGGAACCCTTACAGCTCATTCTAGTGAAGGGCCAAGGTGGAGCTATCTACCTGCCCGTCCGGAGCAGAGGCTGAGGAAGTCTCCGTGTATCTGGGAAAATTAGAAAACTCTCCCCCTGTCCTGATGTCGGCTCCACGGGGCACTAATGCTCACTGGGTTCACGGCTAATCATTTTCACACTAGTAACGGACGGTGAACGGCAGCTACGCAGGAGCGTGCGTGTTCCTGATAATGCCGCATCTAAATAAAAATTAATTACTTCTGGAATTACAAAAAGACCTAGTCAGAACAAAGAACAATGAACAATTTAGATATTTAACAGCAAAAGGATTAAGTAAATGGTGCACCCTTAGGAAAGTGTATGCAGCTCTCAAAAGTACTTACAAAGAACTTTTAATAAAATGGGAAACCACCTGCGTTATTTTATACAACCAGGATTAATACACACACCACGTGATCTCACTACTATAGCCTAGAATTTTAAGAGAAATAAGACAGGAAGGAAATTCACTAGCATCTTAACGATGCCCTTCTTTGGGTGGAATTACAGAAGTGACACTCTTTACGTTCTTTTCTATTTTCCAAACTTCCCATATGGAGTATATATTATCCTATAAGCAGGGGGAAGAAGAAAGCCACATATATTTTTCAAGATTAAAGGAAAAACATAATTTTAAGTTACTACTAAGAAAACAGAAAGTTAATCAATGTCTCCACTTATAAAATCTTACCTTAACTTTCTTTTTCCAGGTAGATTTTTGTTTCTCCTCCTCTTCCTCGATTAATTTAAGTGCCAGCTCTTTGTTAACTTTTGGCAATTTCTAGCAGCAGGAAAAGAATAAAAGGTGTGCTAAATATCTACATCTTCGCTTTAAAAGCTAACAGTTCTGTGCCAAGTGTAACCTCACAAACAGGTGGTATCTAGTTCTCCCGCTGACCCCAGAGCAGGACAGCATGTGGACACGCGTGGTGCCCGCAGGTGGGCACAAGGGGACAGGGCCCCTCGCCCGGTGCGCTCCCGCGGCCCCTCCTGTGAGCTGAGACGCCAATGGGGAGAAGCTGCGTTTGGGGTGTCAGCGGTGGGGCGGGGGGGTCCCGCAGGCCTGCCGCTGCAGCCTCTGGCTGGGGTTCAGGGAACCCTGAAACGCTACTAATAATGCCCAATGCACCACTCCCTGCTCCCGAAGTGGCAGACTCCTAGGGGGTTCTGGCCGTGAGTCTGACAGCTCTCAGCTCTCAGCGTAAAGCTGTGTGTTGGGAGCTCAAAGGGTGAGGAAGAACTCCCCATGGGGTTAAGTTGCACCCGATATCCACCCCACCCAATTGTTTCTGCTTGGAGCACTGACGCCCCCCACCCAAGATGACCCCCAAGGCATCTGGTGACCGGATTGGAGTGCCTTATTCTGGCCTTGAATATGCTGACTGCACCCTGCAAAGGAACCTATTGAGGAACTTCTTTTGTGATTATGGGAGCAAACATTGTGTTTCCTGAAAGACCTGTTTTTCTTAATACTTCCCCTTAAGCAAACAAGCTATTGACCCCTGCTCACAAACAACTAACTTCACCCTTTTTATGCTAAAAACATTGTCAATCCCTTCCTTCCCCATAGAATAAGCATCTAAATCACCTATTTCAATCACTATTGATAAAGGTTAAGCAGGAGACTTCTACAAATCTATGTTCTGGGAAATTCTTAGGTATTAAAGAAGTTTGTCATCAAAAATCACTGTCTAAGGCAAATGCCACTTCTGTGCCGTCCCCCAAACACTTAATTATAAAATAAAGTTGAGGCCCAGTCAGAGCAGAGATGCTGCCTGGTGACCAGAAAGACTCTCGGGCCTCTCTCACTCCTCCCTCACCGACACCGTCCATCCTTCAGGGACCCCTGGACCTGCTGGAGCTGGACTCCAGCCGCTGTGAGCTCTTTATTGTCCTTCCCCATTTAGAGCTTATGTTCCCCTGTAAAATACAGAAGGGGACAAAAGTACTCCATGTCCCAGTGTCCTCCTTGCCAACACACACACATCTGACACTCTTAAAAAACTTAACAAGTAATCTGGAAAAAGGAAAAACCAGGTACCAGCCTTCGGTACTGAGTGTGCGTACATACGTGTGTTTATGCACGTGTGTACATGTACGCACGCATGCGTCCGTGTGTTCACTTACCTGCACAATCGGGGAGAAATGAGTGGGGCTGCGGAGGCTGGGAGGCGGAGGGCCCCAGCGTCCTGGACTGCCGGCTGCTGGGCCCGCATTCCTCCCCCAGGCAGCAAACAGAGGGGTCCAGGACAGCCTGGGGTTCCAGCCTGTCCCCCGGGAGCAGACTCATTTTAGCCCCGGCTGCTCCTGAGAGGCGGGGGCCCCAGCAGCATGGCTCCCGGGTGCCTCCTCCTTCCTGGTGCCCCCCCCACCACCGCCCCCACCTGCTTCCTGCAACTACCGCCTCTCTGATCAATATCCTTATTCAAGATCAGTATCAATGGGCTTCAGTTCTCTAACAGCTAACAATTCTGTACATTAAATTCTCTCTATTAATATAAGCAGGCGGTTGGACTCCTGACCTAGTCTAATGACCCTGATCCAAGTGGACAGCCTAAGATCCTGCCACGTGTCAGAATTGAGAATCATCAAAGCCTCAACACTAAACTCTGGAAACTCCTCGGAAAGCTCCTCCACACTCTCTCCGGAGGGCTGCGGGTCTCAGTCCCTCTGCCATTCTTTCCCACAGTACCCTTACCACAGAATCCATTAGGATCAAACTGTAAGGGGTATCCACCCTCGTGACCAGGAAGACATACCGCAAATGTTAGGAAAAGACGTGAACTAAAAATGGGGAAACGAAGAAATGGATGGCAGGTTTCTCTGGAATAACACACAAAATGGAAACTAAGTACTTTTCTCTGGTGAACTCAATAGTGAGCACAGTATCTACCTTTAACTGGACTCTCTGCGCACGCGTTTCTTCTATCTTCTGTCGGATCTTATCTTTCCTGTATTCTTCATAAGCAAATGGATTTACCATCAATTTTACCTTTTCAAAGTGGAAAAAAAAAGTTCAGAAATACAAGTCATATCTAATAGCATGTTTCATATACACCACGACCATTATGCTGACAGATTCTCTTACAAACCAAGTACATTTTGCAAAATGCAAGAGCGAAGAAATGGTTCATTAATCACCTAAAGTAAGTGCAGTTTCCTATTTACCTTGTGATAGAGTCTTATATCCATGAAAAATCCATGCATATATGCCCGGAGAAATGGTGACCCGATGAGATGTGTGAGCCCTGGAAAGAGTTAATCAAAGAGGACAGATCATTATGAAATCTTTTTTTTTCGTTTGAGAGAGAGACAGAGAGCAGGGGAGGGGCAGAGACAGAGGGAGACACAGAATCCAAAGCAGGCTCCAGGCTCCGAGCTGTCAGCATAGAAACCGGTGTGGGGCTCGAACTCATGAACCATGAAAACATGACCTGAGCTGAAGTCAGACGCTTAACTGACTGAGCCACCCAGGTGCCCCAGGTCCTTATGAAATCTTGATGAAAATTAGACAGGTTTTTTGGATTACAGTAATATTTCACTTCTGATTGATTATAAGATTTCACTCTGGAGACCAGAACCACTAATTTTCAAAAACTATGGAGAGAATTTAATCTACTTTAAGCAGTGTCCCTCTTACTTACTTAAAATGTCATACTAAGCATAAAGGTGACAAAAAAGTCTTTATGAACTATGAAAGAGTGCTAAAGAAAGATCCTAATACTAGTGGTTCTCAGAGTTTTGGATTCCAAGGATCAGTTCAATGTAAAAAAAAAAAAAAAATAATACTGGCATCACCAGTAACTTGCCAACTTCCATTCTGCCAGGTAGGAGCAGTGGCAGCGGGGTCGGGGCAGGGGTGGGGGGGTATTACCTTCCATCATTTCCAAACACAAAGCACGCTATCAAAACAATAATGTAGAAAGGGCACACTCTTTCCATTATTCTTTTTACAGATGAGGAAGCCAAGGCTTGACAGGGTTAACACACTGACCAAGTCACTCGGATACGAAGCAGAAGAGGTGGGGCGTGTACCCAGCACATCCGGGTGTGTACCTTCCTCTGATGCCCACGGTGCCAGCTACCATGCGCCCCACCCAGCATTCTGGCACAATATTCCATGAAACACGTTTTGGGAAATACCATGCTTTATAACTGCCTTCGCCTTCCTCACCCAAAATAAACACAGTAAAAAGAGACTAAACAGGCATCCAAAATGAACACAGTAAAAAGAGACTAAACAGGCACCCAAGATGAACTAAACGCAGTCTTTTTAAAAACCCTGCAAAGCAGCAACGACTTTTTCCCTCCAATGTAAAAATGGAGGTGAGTGCGACACAAGTATAAAAATGACCCTGAAAACGCTTAGGAAGGCACATCAGCAGGAAAACCCTAGTTCATTCAGGGATCATTTTTACAAATCTGACTACAAGTCTTTTCTCTTTAAACATTAACATTTAAAGAGTTATTTTGGTGGGAACTGGCAGAAAATGAACTCTGCCTGGATTAATTGTGCTATGAAATACAGTGTAAGGGACTCCTCAGTGGCTCAGTTGGTTAAGCGTCTGACTCTTGATTTTGGCTCAGGTCACGATCCCAGGGTCGTGGGATCGAGTCCTACATCAGGCTCTACACTGAGTATGGAGCCTGCTTAAGATTCTCTCTCTCACACTCTCTCCCCCACCCCCCACCCCCGGCCTTCTGCTTGAGCTAATTAAAAAAAAATACAGCTTAAAAATAAAGTTTAAGAACTTCCAGTTTATTTACGACACGACTCTATTTTCTATACCACTTCACTGGTGCCGTGCTCTGTCTGTCTCCTGTACAACTAAGTGGCCTGGGTTCACAGAGAATACGGGTCCTCTGGGTTTGTCCATTGTCCACGCAAACCCCTTATGCAGCCTCTCTCCACCAACCCCTTAGCAGCATCTCCTCTCCGTATCCCACAAAGTGGTACCAGTCAGCTGAGAAACATGCACTCCTCCGCAGGTCAGGATGGCCGAGGTGAAGGCCACGCACTCTAGGTGTACTGCTGAACCCTCATGTTCACGATCGCTGAGGTCTTTGGCAAGTTAGCACCTTCTTGGGCCTCAGTTTCCTTGTCTACAAAATGGCATCATAACTGTATCTACCCCCCGGAGTGGCAGGATTAAGAGGTGCAGGTAAACATGCAGAATATTACCGGGTACACGACAAGCCACACGGGTGCTGCTACTACTGATAAAAGACATTTCTTGGTCGATGACCTTTAAGCCTAAAGTAACTATTATGGGGTGGGGGTGCGCCTGGGTGGCTCAGTTGGTTGAGCCTCTGACTTCGACTCAGGTCATGATCTCACGGCTCGTGGGTTCAAGCCCGCATCGGGCTCTGTGCTGACAGCTCGGACCCTGGATCCTGTCTTCGGATTCTGTGTCTCCCTCTCTCTGACCCTCCCCTGCTCATGCTGTCTCTCTCTCTTAAAAATAAATAAAACATTAAAAAAAATTTTTTTAGTAAATAAAGTAACTATTAAGGGTCTATGTATCTGAGGATTCAATCGGGTTTCTAAGTTTTAAATGAGGTCTTCTACAAGCAAACTTAAAAGGGAGCCAGAAATCACTTACATGCCGTCTCTAAGATATTTTCAAAACCTTTTACTCAAAACAGTACTTGAAAAAAAAAATCACTGCTTTCTTGACACTTTTTCTATACATAGCTCGTATGCTTAAGAAAATTATTCCTCACTTGAGATACAAAACAGCTTCAGTAAGTTGAATTTACCTGGATCCTTCTCTAAGCAGAGATTAGAAACTAGACAATATACATGTTTAACATCTGCTTTGGCAGAAAGAGAAGACTTGGAAACTCAGATAAACAGGACGCTACTGCCCCTGACGTTCAAAACGCCCCCCTCCCCAACAACTGTATAAATATTTTATCATAATTTTATTTCTTACCTAGATTTTCAAGGTCTTTCTTGGTGACAAATTTGTAGTCATCGTACACTGTGCTTTCTGGATTCTCTTCTAATTCTTCTGTCAGGTTGTCCAGGAAGGAACACCACCTGGGAGCAGGACCCAGGACCTATCAGTGTGAATGAAAAGGTCAGTAAGTGTACATTCTCGCCACACTAACTAACAGGCAGTTATTTCACAACTAGATTTTCTTAAATTTAAAAGTCCTTGTTTGTATCAGAAGTGTTGAAAACTAACTACAATAGGCAAAATCAACATGTGTAATAATGGAAGGGAATAAAGTAGGAAAAATGTAGGCTTGTAAGGGAGAAATCTCAATCTGGGATGCAGAGATATTAATAAACATTCTTACATGAGCACTATCAAAATACAAATAAATAATTCAGGCACTTAAGATAACATCCATCCACTTATCACCTCTTTCATTCAAAAGAGTACTAGAATCTATAAAAGTGTATTTGGCATAAGAGATTTTTTTTTTAAGTTTGCCACTCATGACAGACAAAAGTCTAAAATGGGAATCACCTTCTTTTCTTTTTTGAAGTCTATTTATTTATTTTGAGAGAGAGATAGCGTAAGCGGAGGAGGGGCAGAGAGAGGGAGAGAGAACCCCAAGCAGGCTCCACACTCAGCGCAGAGCCCGACGTGGGGCTTGAACCCATGAACCATGAGATGATGACGGGAGCTGAAGTCGGATGCTTAACCGACTGGGACACCTGGGTGCCCCGAGAATCATCTTCTTTTCAGGGGTTCTCAAATAATTACTTGGTAATTATGGTTGCTCTTGTGGGGTTCACTTCATTTAATTCATTAAAAATTAAAATCCTCTAGATAGAATCCTTCAGCCTTAACCTAAAATGGGTCACCAAGACCCACAAGTTAATCCCAATGACAGGCTGGGGAATAAAAGTTGAACAGAATTTATAACCCACTAATACTAAATGAATAGTTCATAATTCATGGCTGTAATCCGACTACTTCCATAAAATGCTGTGACTGCTTTTTACCTTTCGGCTGTTGTTACAGATCTTTCCCAGCGCTACGCCTCACCCACCGAGGTCAAGGCTTATCCCAGATGAAACAACGCTCCTCACTGAGCAGGCTACACTACTGACAGTGTCTGTGGAACTACAGGCTTCCAGAAGAACGGCCCTGGGCTGACAAAATGGAACTTCCCATGACTCCTTCCCTGTGTATTTTGATAGCTCTCAATTCAACGGAAGAAAAACAAAAATCGTAATGGAAATTATTAAACCTAGCTTAAACTTTGTGGGGAAGGAAAGGTGGAAGAGAGCTGTAACAAGGAAAAACAGTGCCTAATACCATCCTCAATCCAAAAAAAGTAAATGTTAGATATGGCCATACAGGCATGGTATTATCATGCCGATCAGTAAGGTGTCCCCCTAAACCCAAAAGGCTATGGCGCTCCCCAACACCAAAAACAATGTTTAATGAGCATAAAAGTTATGAGAACTGCCAAGAAGTTTCATATTAGCATAATCTATGCAATTTTTTAAAAAATAAGGGTTTTGATGCTCTGAGTGGTTTGACACTAACCATAAAAGACAAACTTTGAAGAAATGCAAGGCATTAAAAAAAAAATTTCAACATAGAACACTTTTTAAAGAAACTGCTAGGATTTTAAGCAATTTTAGGACTGTAGCTTGAAGTCAACCGATGTAGACAGTAAACGCTACTACATATAAAGCACCGCGCTGACCCAGGGAGTTTACAGATTCTAGCCGGGGCGGAAAGCTAGCAGAGCACATGGGCACACGTAGCCCGTGTGTAACGTGACGGGCAGACTGCACCGAGGCCACGGGGGAGAGAACTGGGGGCTGGAATCAACGGCAGGCTGGGACGCCGAAAAGCACACACGGAGGGACGCCAGGTTGGCGTGAGCTCCTGAGCAAGCCAGGAAAATCAGGGGCCCCTTCGAGAGACGGCGCGGGCACTTCCCACTCCAGGCTATGTGCGTCACATTGCTCACAGAGCAAGTGCAGAGCTCCGCCATTTGCTGGCGTAGAACCAAAGACAGCAACCTTCTCTCTTTTCGGAGACAGAAAGCACCCTATGGCCACTTTTCTAGAATATAACCCCCAAGACACTGTCCTCTTGGGAGAGGAGGAACTTCATCGGTTCTAAATGCTGAATTTCCAGTAACTAGAATATTGCCTGTCAAGCAGTACTATTTTCAACACGTATTTCACAAACACATCTATTCATATGTAATGTATGAATGTGTTTGTAAATTCCATGTGCAAAAAGTACTAAGACTTAAAGGGTCCTGGAGGTGCCTGGGTGGCTCAGTCGGTTAAGCGTCCAACTTGGGCTCAGGTCATGATCTTACAGTTCGTGAGTTCAAGCCCCAGCTTGGGCTCTATGCTGACAGCTCAGAGCCTGGAGCTTGCTTCAGATTCTGTCTCCCTTTCTCTCTGTCTCTCCCCCACTTGTGCTCTGTCTCTTTGTCTCTCTCAAATCTAAATAAGCATTAAAAAAACAAAAGACCTCCCATGTTAGGGAAAAGTATTTTTTAAATTGTTTTGATTTTCCTTATTCAGAAAAAAACACTCAAATACTTTTCCATAAAACTACTGGATATGGGAACACTTTTTGATGAAAGTCAGACTGTTTTGCCTCCTATGCGAGGGGAAAATGGTTACCAAATAACCTCATAATAAAGCAGTTTCACCTTTAAAAACCTTCAATCAGTGATAAACATGGGCTTCAAAGACAATAAGAAGATTGAACTGTTTACCGACTCTTCTAGGGAGAGGGTGGTAAAGGGCAGGAATGTCAAAATATCAGACCAGATCTGAATTTACTTTCACAAAAGTCCTTTTTTATAATGTTCCACGACAATCATCTTGATTAGTTAACGGATTCTAATGGAATTGTTTTAAACTGCCTCTCAGGGGACAGATCTGGTTCTGGTAAATAAACTCTGCAATCAAATTCATGGCCATTAAATTTTACAGGCGGAAATATTTCCATCAAAAACAAAATTTAGTCGGGTGGGTTGAGGATTTCCCTAGTTCCTATTCAGGGAAAAAAAACCATAACAAAGTTGAAATTACTGGTTTAACTGGCATTAAACTGCAGGTCTACCTAAATCACAGCTCCCTCAAAGGTCTACCATTAGTTTGTAAAAGTAGTAGTTGGCTTTTGGAAGGCTTAGCTGTATGCACAGCTCTCTGGGGTACTATCTATACTTCAGCCACAAGGGATTCTTTCTTGTTTATCTACATTTTTATGCACCTTAAGATTTTTGTTTGTTTCAGAAAGCTGGTGAAGACTGCTTTAGTTTGAACTTCTGTTATCTTTTAATGAACTTCTACTTTGAATATGTAAGAATGTCCTAAAGTTACAAGTCCGTACAGCAGTGATCCGGAAAGGGACACCGTGGGTCCCTCAGCAACTTTAATGACCACCATATCAATGAATCTAAGTATGTGGGGCTCCCGAATGGGAAACAATCTTTATCAACGTGCCTGGGAAGCCTCGACACCGATATCTGCTTGCTCCAATCCATGTGAGCAGAACTGATCTGAAAGTACATGAAAACACATATGACGTGCCCAAGATCACCTGCCTCTGTGATTACGAACTGCCTTTAAGATGTTACTTATATACGCTCAATTTTAAAATTCAAAGTTCTCGTATATTCGGGTAGTGGACAAAAATGAAAAGAGTGGGGAGAAAAGAGGGCGAATCTTAAAATTCTTATGGAGCTGACAGAAGAGGGTGGCCCTCCCACACACACTACTTTTGGAAAATCACTGTGTCGCAAGCATCCCAAAGCTCTTGGGGCAGAAATAAAGAGGGAGGGCTTTCTAAAGGGGTGGTTTTTAACAGACGAAGGACAGTTAAAGTAACAACAACAAAATATTATTCATATTATTAGAGACAAAGAGCCAAACTACTGAGTCAGTATGAATCTCATCACTTTTTCCATCTACTTATAATGCTACTGCACTAAATAATCTATCTTCCTACCATCAAAATAGTTACGAAATAACTGCTAACAAAGAACGGCAGTTAAATTTGAAATTATTTATGTTTATTTCGAGTTTTACATTTAAGTTCCAATTAGTTAACATCTAGTGTGATATTAGTTTTAGGAACAGAATTTGGGGACTCCTCACTTTTGCGTACCGCTCAGTGCTCATCACAAGTGCCCTCCTTCAGGCCCATCCCCCATCTAGCCCATCCCCCACCCCCAGCCCTCCGGCAACCCTCAGATTGCGCTCTTTCAAGTTTCTCTCTTACGGTGTCTCTCCCCCTGCCCCATATTCATCTGTTTCATTTCCTAAATTCCGTGAGTGAAATCATGTATTGTCTTCCTCTGACTGACTTATCTCGCTTAGCAGAGTACACTCTAGCTCGCCCACATCGTTGCAAATGGCAAGATTTCATTCTTTTCTTACGGCTGAGTAATATTCCATTGTATATAGATCCATCTTCTTATCCGTTCATCAGCTGATGGACATCTGGGCTCTCTCCATAATTTAGTTCTTGTAGATGCTGCTGCTATGAACAGGGCTTGTGTCCCTTCAAATCAGTATTTTTGTATTCTTTGGGTAAATACCTAGTGGCGCAATTGCTGGATCATGGGATAGGTTTATTTTTAACTTTCAGAGGAACCTCTCCACTGTTCAAGGCGGCTGCACCAGTCTGCCTTCCCACCAACAGTACACGAGGGCTCCCCCTTCTCCACATCCTCGCCAGCACCTGCTGTTTCCTGTGTTGTTGATTTTAGCCATTCTGACAGATGTGAGGCAGTATCTCGTTGTCGTTTGATTTGTTTTTCCCTGAAATTATTACCTTGAATTTTTAGTGATTTTTTAAAAACTTCAGCAACTAAGAAAATTCTTAATTACTCCATTTGGTAGAACTATACCTTAAAATACCTTTGAACCAAGATGGGCTTATAAGCTGGGAAACTTCAACTGATAATAACACACATAGAAGTATATAACGTACCCAAGTACAAACAGTTGATTTTTTAAAATATTCTGTTACATGATTTTCAGAATGCACTGTAGCACAGTGTTAAGTAGGGTATCTTAAATGATAACTGGGAAAAGAATCATGATAGTATATGACAGC